TGGGCCATAACCAGTTTGTTTAGATAAGTCTCTGGGCAAATATTCCAAAATATTCTAGTGCAATGTATTTTGGTTTTGATTTACAAATACTCCCTCTCCCTGTTTAATTTTTCACGGCTCAACTTAGCAAACGCGGCAGTCGAAAATATCAAGATTGCGACTGGGCGCCATCTTATAACATTCTTAAATGCATTGAGGGTCACGTGATATCTCGTTGTAAAACTCCTTCATTTAGCGAAAATTGTTAAAATCTTCCGATGTTTTAAACGAAATGTCTCACATTGTATAGATATACCCTTCTAAAAGTAAAAGATTGATCTAGAATATATATGCGATTCGATTATCAAAAAAGATCTGAACTTTGATCGCCTACAAGTCCGTCATTTTGGAAGATAACGAATTTATGTTATAGACTTGTAGAGTACTCAACAGTAACTTCAAAATGAGGTAGCACGTGACGTGACATTTACAAAATGTTCAAAGATGCCAGTCAGCCGCCATCTTGTTCAACTGTGACTTTAGAGGAACTTCTAAACGAAGTGTTTTGTAATATTTGGCTATAACTATGGTAAATATAGCCCGGCCACGTTTATATTATTCCTTGGCTATATCAATGTATATCTTGGAAATATTAAATCGGGCAAGAAAGCCTGACAAAATTGTCCTCACAGCCTATACTACATTAAGTAGGATTCCGATACTCCAGCAATCTGAAAGCAATATACGAAGATATATGTGTATTGCAAATGCCTAGCTTATGTGGCCGGCATACGAAAAATATGGCTGTTGTTGCTGGCTACCCTAGTATACAGGTAGGTAGATAACTACAAAAATATTACCCGTTTAGAAGCCTCATTAAACTGAAATCTAGCATTTTTGCATCGATTTTATCACCTCGAATTTCAGCTTGCTAACTTGATGCCTTCATAAAATAAGTAGGGGGTCGGTAACTTTTTTAAAAAAAACTCGATTTATTTCTGATGCATGTGTGAAACGTACATCTATAGCATCATATCAAAATAAATGTATAATATGTTTTTATAAGAAAGTTGTAGTTCTCGTAAGACACTTGTAATCGCGAAAAATGAGATACTATGTTTTCTGAATATTATATAGCATGCATATCATGAATAAACATGCCATTTACGTTGGTCTGTCTGTCTTTCGGTCTGTCCGCTAATCCCTGGCCCGTCCATAACTTGGAAGCTACTGCTGGCATTTTGGTAAAATTACCTCACAAGCTTACTGCTATGCCAAGGACAAACAAGCTTTGTAGTATTAGAAAATCGCTCCAGGGGCGGCGGGGAAAAAGCCAGAAAAATTGCTCAAACATCGTTTTTTGTCGTTTCATATGCTCCTAATCATTTTCAGAAAATGTTTATTGGAGCTAAAAATTGGGAGTTGGGGGTTGTATGGAGGAAGGGACGGAAGATCTATATGATTTGCCTTCACTATATTTATACGCCAGAGCTACGAGGTTTGAACGCGATAAACTCAAGAGCTACCCAACTGATGTTCACACAGTTTTCACCAGTAGATAGAGAGAATGAGTAAGGTTTAGCTGTATAGTTCACCAATTCCTTGTGAGCTATCTGATACCTGATGGAATATTTACTCAAGATATCAAAAATGTGACTATAAAAAATCACTATTATGTGGCTATGGTGCAAAGCTTATGGATGTTACGTAAAATAAAGCACTGTCACTATTATAATTAAATTTTTATATACCGAAAAGGAATCCGGGAATACAAATAGAAAAAGTGAACAAGGGGGGCTGTTTGTAGCTTTTTTTTGTTACAAGTATCTAACGTTTGAATTTTTTGACAAAAGTTGTTTTTTGAACTATGCGACCACTCAAGTATCACATACGCACGCTTTGCTTATTTTTGATGAAATGGGGGATGGGAGCATCTGGATGGCGACTACGTTAGCAACAGTTATTTTTTTACTTTTTCAGATTTTTTACAAAATCTAGACGATTTTGATTTGAACACATACGCAATCCTGCTTGTCGGCGCTCGAATGTGAAGCGCATCGACAATTCTCCAAATATGGATATGCGTACTCGCTTAGAGGCTTAGCCGCGAATGCTTCTGATAGAAATGCGTCTAACCGAGTCTTCTGAGCCATTCTGTGCTCTTGCACAGAATGGCTCCTTTTAGTCTGGAGCTGGCTGGATTGACATTGGTTCATGACTCATTTGGATGAACATGGCATTGCAATTATTATGAACATTTAGAAGGTTTCAATTTCAGGTTTGCCGTAAATGTATCAGCAGAAGTATCAAGTTCAATGGAAATTTATTGTTATGGTGTTACTGCAAAGCTTGTTGAGTTGGGCTAGCCAGATCTTCCTCATTTTTCAGATATCAAATGGTATTTAGAACATGTGCGAGAAACCCAAAATTTGATTACAATTGTAAAAAGTACCAAAATGTTTAGGTAAGCATGGGAAGAGGTGGTAAGAGATCCTCTTACTTTTCGGCCCAATTCCGTATTTCCAGATTTCTATTTTACCATACACAGGAATAAATGGGGATGCTGCATTTGACTGGCAGCATACACATATATCGATTTTAAACTAACAGCAAAAACATCCGTTGTGTAATTTTCCTGCACGCTCCATACCGAGCGATGCCAATGAGAACATCCCCATATGCGCCGCGCGAATAATTTGGGGCACATAAATTCCGCATCCTTTGAATTGTAAATTTTTGAGGCAGCTCAACGGCGCGGCGATATGCAAAGTCGCCGGATGTGTACCAACTTAGCGGAAGTTTGGCAAAAACTGTTTTCCGGTTTAAATCTTCATTTCACAGTCTAATGGATCGAGAACGCGGAAGTTTGGGAGCTCGAAGCTGGATCGCGGCGTTGCGGATGCTGAAGCTCTGTGGATGAATTCATAATTAACTTCTATTTGGCTATCTTATATACTTCGACGTTTTATTGTTTATTTTTAGGTATCGGAATATAAAACGTTAAAACTAGTATTACAGCATTCGTTCATTCGACCACTGACGATCAACCATGGACCTCTATAGGAACTGTATACCAGTTCGCATTGTCTGCCGGATCACCGCTGTGAGCGCTTGATGCCATCGATTCTGGTGCTATAGTAGATACGGCCTAATCGTCTTTGAACAAATCAGTAATGTAGGACGAAACAGATGCCCATGGTCCATGGCTGACCGTTTGTGGTCAAACGATGAAGGTTATATTACTAGTTTGTTCAATAGACGGTAGCCCGAACTACTATAACACAAGAATCGGCGGCTTCTAGGGGCCACAGTGGTGACCTGGCTGACACATGTGAACTGGGATACAGTACCAACAGATATATTGGTAAGCGCTAGCTAATTTTCTGGATACCAAGCATCAGTAACTCCATCAATACATTTATCAAAAAGTAGGCATATGATATTTTTTTAAATTCGGGAGTGTACTAATATCGATGGGGCAACGGCAGCTGAAATATTTTCAAGATGGCGGCACTTCCGGTTATACAGGTTATACCAAATTGCTTATTTTAAATTGGACATCTTGTATATTACTCAATATTCGGATTCTACATAAAATTTTAATCACATTTCATGTATAAAATCCTATACCCAAGTCTAACCGTTTTGACATATTTCAAATTTTGTCAAACATGACGTTTGCAGGCCCTAAAATAATTGTTCATTGTGGTAACCAGAGATATAGTTTAATAGACTTTGTATGATATTTCGATAATTATTTATACAGGGTGGTCAAAAAATAGAATAAAAAATGGATGCCAAAAGTTGATTTTTTCAAATTCTTATAAGCTTATTGCATCAGGCATAAAAAATTAGCGTAACTTTATACAGGGTTATCTATCCCAAAAATGTTTACTTTTCGATTAATTTGCAGTTTATTACTTTTCTATTGTAGAACTCGTATAAGTACAGATTCAGTTTTTTAATTAGTTGACTATGACGGCGGTTTTTTTACTAGTTGGCTACCGGTTGGAATGATGTCTGATCTATGTGATTCGGCAAATCAGCAGGGGTGTTATGTAAAAAAACCTCAAAAACGTCAAAATAAACCTACGAAATGTCATCTTGCAGACTAGTGTGCAAATAGTTCATTCCACGTTTGCTCGCTATGATCCCTTTTCGCTAACGTTTAAGAAACACGTACACCTACAAAACCAGTTCATAGCAAGTGTACAACAGCTTGTGGTAAGTTAATATGTTGTAGAAAAAGCTACGTTACCCCACAAAAAACCCACGAAATGTCTATTTCAATTTACATTGCGTTTGGCTAATACTAGGGTAACATACCGCTGACAATTATGCCAGGCATGTGAGCGGGGGCAAGGAACCAGTAATCGGTTCTACCTGCTGGCTTGTGCATTCACATAAGTACAAATGTATATGTACGATGACAATAAGACGATCACTAATACCTTTGTGATGAATATCTAATGCAACGTTATCCACCATGACAAAATGCTACAAGCATCACCGTGGTGTCAATGAATATGGTACATTCTGTACAATCTCATACTAAGGCAGACAGTGAGCATTGTCGAATTTTTCTGTCTGGGAGTAGCTATAAAAGCTCTCTGCTGTCAAAAACTACATATGAGGTATATGAGTCTGATACCTCTAGATAATATTAAAAGTGATAGTCACATAGGATTATAAGAATTTCGTTATTAATTTGACTTTCAAATATAGGCGAGTGACGTATGCCTAAAAAAGCAAAGTCCACAATTAAAGGATAAAGGTAGACTAACAGATGCAATTAATTTATTTTTCCATTGCCTGCAAACAGTTAATAAAAGCGTTACATATGTTTCCTACCCTTATCGTTACTAACACCTAATGAGTTGGTAAGATGAGTAAGCTCCACATACATGACTGCAAATACACCAAGATCGCCACATTGGTATGCTGACAGACTTACGTCATATTCACTCAGATGAACGTGTCCTCTGTTGCTTTCTAGAGCGCACTTCTGCACAGGTACATACTTAAAAATACACTTTATCACCTTTAAGATCGAAAAAATCTTTGAGTTCTTCCATGCACTCCTTATTAAACTTATTTTCTCCTAGAAACAACCTCCTAACTCCCATGAAACTTCTTACTGTATCATTTGTGAAACAAATAAACTCATTCGAGTTCATGTATAGACTCATGAGGAACTCGAATTGTTGGAACACCTTTTCTGGAAGCTCAAGCACTTTATTGTTGCTCAAACTCACTGTGTCTAGGGTACGGATATTTCTGAAGGCATCCGGATGGATATACAGAATGTTATTGTTGTCAAAGTTTATTGAACCATACTTTCTCAGAGTGTCTGTTTCTAATACCTGACATATATGTCTGGTGGCATCCTCGGGTATCTCGGTCAAAAAATTGTGTGTGATTGTGAGATCATTCAGCACCCTTGCTCCTTCGAACCAAGTAGGATCAAACAGTTTTATAGAATTATAGTCCAAAGATATAGCTTCTAGTCTCTTCATGCTCTCGAAAGCTCTTGGATAAATGTTTCTTATGCGATTGTCACTCAGCACCAAGCTTCTGATTGTAGTACCATTGAATACACCTCTGTGAATGCTATATAGTTTGTTACCCTGGATAAACACTTGCTCCAAAATGTTGCTTTGAAAGTATCCCGGTTCAATATACTCTAAGTTCGTATTGAGAATGATGACCTCTTGTACGTCTTGTGGAAGGTAGTACTTGCAGAGCTCTTTGACATTTCCTTCTCTTATTTGGAAAAACTTGACTTTACCTTGAGGTGGCTCGAACACATGCCAGGGGTAGTACTGATAGCCTTGTTTTTCTGCTACAACACCTCTTGAGTTCTTCAAGTAAGATTCATCACACTTTCTGTGGCCCACATCGGTGACAAAAATATGACAATTGCTTAACGAAATTAACGAAAAGACAGCAAACAACAATTTCATTTGGTGTATCATTGTGTTTTATGCTGGCGGATGTGTTTATTATGTTACAATAAATCAGTGTGGCTATGATAAACCTTCGACCTTCGGCTACCATTGATTCACTGTTTTCAATGCCATTGATTCATTGGCGTACATCTCGTATAATCACAATGAAACGTAACGCGTAAATACGCATTTGTATTATGTAATAAATTGAAATGTTCAGTTCAGGTAGAATAAGCGAACTTATAATTTGAAAATTTCCAACAGTCAACGATTTTTTTATGATATAGTACCTTTCCTAATAGTTTTTATGTTTTGTATTCGACTTGAATACCAAGAGGTTGCCTAGATATTCTAAGTGAAGTGATAGATATTATAATGCACTGAATTTCTAACACTGATATTCTATTAATCCTGACCCAGTTACCGAACTCCATGCACCCCTTAGTCCAATAAATGAATAATTTTGATCTAACAGAAACTCTATAATGGATGAAAATCTGGTTAGTGAAGTATTTTCCTTTAGTAAGACGAAAAGTTTCGGATCTTAACGTAAGCAGGAACCGAGAAATGTCTGAAAAACTTTTAGATTTTTTTTTATTTTTGTTACGGTTCTCCAAGTATTGTATATAAAAAAATAGCTCCTCTCTTGCAGCCCGATAGATAAGATTCCTTAAATATATTTTGATGTCTTTGTTACGATTCTATAAATAATATATATATATATATATATATATTTTGTAACTTGAGACGTGGTCATTGTCGTCTAGACCAGTTAGGTGAAAAATTAAAGCTTCCGCCTTTTGTTGGGTACTTCGACAAAATTTAAGCAAAGAGGACTCTTTATACTTTTTTTAATTCTCTCTAGCTTTCAATGGACTTTGCCATCATCATCAGGAGCTGCAATTACAATGATAACAGTAGCAACAAAGGTGTAAAATGAATTTAAATTGACTCAACTTACAGTAGTATGTGAGGATGTTGCTAATTGTTGTTTACGTATAGGATATATGTGCATATATGTCAATGTCAATACTGACATTGACATCCTTCGGCCTTCTGTCAAAGGGTTTCATGTCACTCATCATTCCATGACCACTAATTTGTGCAATCATCAAGTGGCTTCACGATGTAATGCTTTAATTTTTTAAATAATTTTTAATCTGTTTTTAACTTGTTCTTGTCATATTTTATATAAGTTTGACTACTGTACAATCTATCCAGCTCTCACCATGTTACTGGACGTTTCCCTCATCCTATACGTAAACAACAATTAGCAACATCCTCACATACTACTGTAAGTTGAGTCAATTTAAATTCATTTTACACCTTTGTTGCTACTGTTATCATTGTAATTGCAGCTCCTGATGATGATGGCAAAGTCCATTGAAAGCTAGAGAGAATTAAAAAAAGTATAAAGAGTCCTCTTTGCTTAAATTTTGTCGAAGTACCCAACAAAAGGCGGAAGCTTTAATTTTTCACCTATATATATATATATATATATATATGAGCGGTAGTCATTGCCAAAGCCAACGACTAGTTGGGTACAAAATACAATTACTTGTTAATTGGGAAAATTGGCAAAACTTTTAGGCTTAAGTTGACTCTTTTGAAGATAAAATCAAGCTTTCGGCATTCTGTATGGAGCCTTCATCAGGATTCTGACAACACAATTCTGATGCTAGCAAAGAAAACAGGACAGATTTAAATTGTCAGACAACTTACTCGTCGGTGAGGCTGCAGCCACAAGGTGTTTCAGAACGAACGTAGAGAAGATCGAAATTGTAATCAGTATAAAAAACAAAAGGACGGGGACATTGGGTTTGTTGTAAAACGACAGATACCTTCGTTAAATGTAAAAAATAACAATCCACCCGAACAAGTTAAAAATATTACATGTGAGACGACATTTTGTTGAAACAATCGGAATGCAGATTCTAACCTTCTGTACTCGCAACACGTGGAGAGGAGGACGGCACGGAAAGATAAAGCGTCGACAGATGACAAGTGATTGACGCGACGGACCGTGGAAATGTAGACCTCTCTGTCCAGTTTTGGGTATGAAGTAAACGAGGGACGCTCGGTAAACCTCCACCCAAAATTACTAAAATGTTGGATTTACTTGTCTTGGAATTTTTTTTGCGTTGAAATCAGCCTTTTTATTCATGCAATGATCTGTCATGAAAATGTGGAACATTTCTAAAGATAAACGTTTTGAGAGTCTTTTTTTTTTAACAAGAACCTCAACATTGCCATAATTCATGGAGTGACCTGTGTTGTTAATATGCGATGCCAAAGCACATCTTTCTGGATGTAATCTGGCGTCACTTTTGTGTGAAGTTATCCTGCCTTTAAGCGACCTAGAAGTTTGGCCTATATACACTAAATTACAGTTGCTGCAATTAATACGATAGACAGTATTGGTTGAATCAAGCAACTGAACCTTATCCTTCATTTTGGACAATAAACTGTTTACTGTGAGCACTGATTTACAAGCAAAACGACAATTAAAGGAATTATACAGCCTTATCAATTTTGGTGTTAGTTCTTTGATGTACCACTGTAGTGCTGTTGTTTTCATTAGTTGGAGAAGTAATGGGTGTCTCGTTAGACTGACCAGTGTTATCGTTTTCACTAATGTTATTAGTCATTGGCAAAATATTTGGAGGAGAGCTGAACAAGATTCTGTTAACCAAATACTTAGGATAGCCATTATTGATAAATAAGACTGAAAGCTTCCTTAAATTGGAAAGATGGAAAGTACTGTCAGAGATTTTTATAACCCTGTTCTTCATTTGTTTCACCAAGTTTATTTTTATTTTAAGTTCATGGTAAGACCTGAAGTTCAGGAACCTTCCGGAAGAAATTGGTTTATTGCCATACGATCTAATTTTCATAAAAAAGTATGTGGACGATATAATCGTTTGTCTTCCTTTTGATAGGGTCAAGCAGCTCAGTGTCATTTATTCCTACCTGTTGAATTGCGAGAAGCTAGAACGTCTACATATCCAAATTGAACCAACATCTTCACAAAATTAGAATATTTTTTTTGCTCACTCACATTTTTAATATAAACTCACAAACCCATCTTTTCAAGGCTGTATCAATATCACATATTCTTACACTCATATGAGCTACACAAAAAAAATTCCAAGACAAGTTAATCCAACATTTTAGTAATTTTGGGTGGAGGTTTACCGTGCGTCCCTCGTATACTTCATACCCAAAACTGGACAGAAAGGTCTACATTCCCACGGTCCGTCGCGTCAATCACTTGTCATCTGTCGATGCTTTATCTTTCCGTGCCATCCCCCTCTCCACGTGTTGCGAGTACAGAAGGTTAGAATCTGCATTCCGATTGTTTCAACAAAATGTCGTCTCACATGTAATATTTTTAACTTGTTCGGGTGGATTGATCTTTTTCACATTTAACGAAGGTATCTGTCGTTTTACAACAAACCCAATGTCCGGTCCTTTTTTATACTGATTACAATTTCGATCTTCTCTACGTTCGTTCTGAAACACCTTGTGCAACCTTACCGACGAGTAAGTTGTCTAACAATTTAAACCTGTCCTGTTTTCTTTGCTAGCATCACAATTGTGTTTTCAGAATCCTGATGAAGGCTCCATAGAGAATGCCGAAAGCTTGATTTTATCTTCAAAATAGTGAACTTAAGCCTAAGAGTTTTGCCAATTTTCCCAATTAACAAGTAATTGTATCTTGTACCCAACTATATACATAGAAGAAAAGTAATGACATTGTTAAGGAACTCCTCAGCACTGAACCAATAACCCAAGAACAAAAAGGAACTTTGACTACGTATAACTCTGTCCCTCCTAAATTCTATGCACTTCCAAAAATACATAAACCTGTACTCTCAGTAAGACCTATAGTTGCATCAATAGGTTCAGCCACCCAGGCTTTGTCTTCATTAATATCGGAAACATTGAAATCGGCACATGGTGATAATGATTACTACATCAAAGACTCGTTTGATGTCTCTCGCCAGTTAAACAGGTTGCCAATACCACCTGATCACATTATAGGCAGTCTTGATGTGATGTCGCTGTTCGGTAATATCTATCTGGATGTATGTACTAGAACTATAAACAGACACTGGGATGAAATAAGTTATATATATATATATATATATATAACTTGAGACGTGGTCATTGTCGTCTAGACCAGTTAGGTGAAAAGGTAATGCTAAATTCAAGCAATGAGGACTCTTTATACTTATTAGTCTCTAGCTTTCAATGGACTTTGCCCTCTTTAATATTAATTTTAACGAATGTACCATGTATCCAGCTTTCACCAGGTTACTAAATGTTTCCCTCAACTTAAACGTTAATAACATTTAGCAACAATCTCACATACTACGTGAGTTAATTAAAAATCATTTTGCACAATAGTTGCTATTTCTCCTCAATGTCATTGCAGCTCCTGATGAAGAGGGCAAAGTCCATTGAAAGCTAGAGGCTAATAAGTATAAAGAGTCCTCATTGCTTGAATTTAGCTTTAGCTTTTCACCTAACTGGTCTAGACGACAATGACCACGTCTCATCCCAGTGTCTATTTATAGTTCTAGTACATACACAGAGATAGATATTACCTAATAGCGACATCACATCAAGACTGCCGATAATGTGATCAGGTGGTATTGGCAACCTGTTTAACTGGCGAGAGACATCAAACGAGTCTTTTGATGTAGTAATCATTATGACCATGCGCCGATTTCAATGCTTCTGATATTAATGAAGACAACGCCTGGGTGGCTGAACCTAGTGATGCAAGTATAGGTCTTACTGAGAGTACAGGTTTATGTATTTTTGGAAGTGCACAGAATTTAGGAGGGATGGAGTTATAAGTAGTCAAAGTTCCTTTTTGTTCTTGGGTTATTTGTCCAGTGCTGAGGAGTTCCTTAACAATGTCATTACTTTTCTTTGACTTTATATATATATATTATTTATAGGACCGTAACAAAGAAATCAAAAATCCCAAAGCTTGTAGTACCTGCCTACCGCAGGAT